ACCCAAACAGGAAATTCCAGAGAACAACAGGTTGAGGAAATCAGGGTAGGGGTGGTGAGATGGAGAACATGAAGCTATGAATGATTATGCTAATTCAAAACCAAGAGTGTTTCTGGATTTAATAGAAAGGTTCACTTCCAAGGAAAAAAAAAAAAAAAAAAAAAAAAAAAAAACACCAAAAACCCAAGAAGGAAATGTTTTTAAGTGGGCATTGTAATGAATGTTACAAAAATATAAGGGAGTAATGTTTTTAAAGGCATGTCTGATTCAAAGTAAAAATCTTTCAACCATTTACTGCATGATATTTTCCCATGGAGATAATTTTTTAAAAGCTTTGGCTTACTTAGAAAAGAAATACTGAATCCTTTTTGTTATTACTTTAACTTGTCCAATCTCTAAACCACAGATACCTCAGAGGTTCATTAGAAATTCCCAAACCCAGAAAGAGGAAAGTCCCAATAAAAACAAACCAAACCAGATCCTTTAGGAGTTGAATTTTGAAGTTTTGACTTCCTGATTCTAAGGATGGGTCATATTTTAGCTTCAGAATAATGGTAAATTTAGCTTAAAAACACCGTAGTTAAAATAATGAATCTCTTCCATGTCTGTCAGTAGGTTTGGCATGTAAGTGTATCAAGTGTAACTCAAACACAAATTGTAAACCATACAAGCCCCATTTCTAACTCAATCTCTTTACAAGGAAATCTCTTTAGCCCAACATTTTTTGCTTCTTCATTGTAATTTTTATTATTATTATTATTTCATTAGATGTAGTCAATGGCTCAGGTTACCCTGACAATGAGAGGAAATCTTACCTTTCCTCTATAAATAAATAACTAGGGTTCAGTTATTAACTATTAAGGGTTATACTCTCTTGTTTCTCTGTCCTCTGGACTAGCCATTGCATGTATGTGATTCAAGAGGCTGCCAGATGCAGTGGTTTAGAGTTAGGCGAGTAAGCACCCAGTGAGCATTCAATCCCTCGTTCCCAGAAAGTGATGTCTCCCTAGAATAACAATTGAAAAGTATTTTGATACCAGCTTTTACAAAACACATACTAGTAGACAATATAAGGTGAAAATATCTGAATATCTTTATAGCTCTATGTCATGACAAAGAAAAATTTTGAAGAAGAATTAATTGAAAGAGCCATGAGCAAGTCCACTGTGGCAACACAAGATTTTTTTTTAGTACCTGGAGTGTTCAGAACTTCTCAGTGGTATAGTGTCAGTATAGGAAAGCTTCATAGAGGACAGATAACTGTGTGATTCATGAACCTCTCTTTCCCCACAACATTTTTCTTGTATGTGTATTCTTTTAAGAAATATTGCAGTTAAAATATAATACATTTCACTTTACTAAGTATATCATGTCTCCTTTCTTTATTCTCCAAAGGACGTGTGTATAACCTACTGTACCCAGAATAGCAAAAGCTAAGGGTCAAATATTTGCTTCCTCTCAAACACCAATACCACAAAATGTATTTTACACACCAAGGTATTATTTTAAAGAGGGCTATTAACTTACTAAAAATTACTTCCTTCCTACTGTTTTAATTTTTCTTGTTACCATGTTCCTTCTTACTGTTTTAATTTTTCTTATTACCACTATATATATATATATATATATATATACATATATATATATATATATATATATCCTTCCCCCTTTGCAGAAGTCTGCTTTTACTAACCTATATAGAGGCTTTGACCAGTTTCACCATAGCCTACTTTATGATCAATTTCTTCATCTTGGTAAGAGAGTCATTTCAGGTATATATCATTTAAGGTATATAAAAGAGGCACCGGATTAAAACGCCCAATCTGGAACTATCAGGGTGTTCACCAGTAATTGTTGTTTCTCCTTATATACCTGCAATTTGCTGGGGAAGACTTGTTCTCCTCCTTTGTACTTCTTACACTAGTGCTGAGCACTTCTCTAGTCTTGGGATGAATTTTTTTTTCATTCTATGGAACTATGACCCAACGTTCTTCCAAATAACAAAATTAAAAAAAAACAAAAACCAAAGAAATGAAGACAAAATAAATCAAATCTATTTTATGATATACATTGCAAAACCATGTTCTCTTACACAACATAATAATAAACTGAAAGAAATTTCTGTGGATTTTAGAAATTAGTACTTTGAACAAATCACTCTTTAATACCTGGAAACTAACCTAAAGAAATGTAATCCATATTATGGTTTCTCATTAATATTACAGATTCTATGAGTGCATGAGGAAGTATGGATGAATTATACTTCAAGGTGTGAGTTATGAGTGTTCTAGAAAACACTTTAAAAAGCATTGATACAGTGGCGTGCCCATAGAATTCATCTCTCTGCAGTACGTTTTATCATGTCTTAAAATTATTCATTAGGAGAGAGAAAAACAAGTTCTGTTAATTATTTATTAATATTAAAATATTGATGAGCATTACCTAAATGTAACGGGATTCCAGCTGGTGCACTGGGTTGAAACTGCTGACATGCAGCCAACACAAGAGGCGTGTATTAAAAGAGCAGAACAAATGACTTAACAGGGGCCTAAAAGCAGCAGTCAGAAAAGGTTCATTTAACTTAGAGATGGCACAAGCTTGGAGCAATTGCCTCTACTTAAGTAAGTGTGGAATTACAAAAGACTATTTATTACAGTCAAACAGGGCCCTGCAGCTTGCTCAGAGACCTTTGAAGAATTTCAACAGTTATAAAGCCTTGCTCGGTGCAGAAGCAGTAAAATTTGGGCAGACCCCAAACAGCCTGCAAAGTTTTCATTAAAAAGTTAATACAATCTTCTTCACATTCTTTGAAATGAATGTGTTTCTCTCTTGTTTGTGTGTGTGTGTGTGTTTAAAGAGAGATGCCATGCATGATAATTTTCAAAATTTCTTTGAAAGTGTATTTTAACTGTTAGGGAAAATAAACCGGTTTCCTGGTGATATGGAATAAATGTAGGGTCTCCATGGGTTTATTAGGAAATTGTTCCAACATCAACCATCTTTGAAATGCCCCATTAAGTATATATTAAAATTACTCTTTTAGTGGATTTAATCAGCAGGAAAATTAGTGGAATTTCTCCGTTTTTGAACAAAAAGCAAAACTTATTTCCCAGGATGTTAAGACTATAATTTTTTTATTAACAATTGGATAACGAATTGCTATTTTTTTTTTTAAGTAACAGGGTTAGGTTAAAAGAAAAGAATTCTCAAAAAATTAACATATTTTTATTTACTTATAACTAAATGATATATTTAGAAACATTGAATACATTTATAAACTTTTAACTAAATATAACCAAAATAAATTATCCTTTGCTTAAAATCAATTTCAGAGCATCAAACCACTATGGTCAGGGGGGTGGAGGGTAAGATTATGATGAGGCCAATCCAGGAAATAAAATTATAATAATGAATAGATGAAAATTAAGTATGAATGGTAAATTATGATAAGTTACATGAAATGACAGTAATTGCTAATGGGAGCAAAATATGAATAAGAAAATGTATTCACTTTTCCATCAGAAAAGCAACACCTACATTTTTCCTTGGCAAAAGATTAAATAATCATTTCCAGGCCATTAAATTAATGATGCTTTAGTTACAAAAGAGTTCATAAGCTCTTACAAATAATAGAAATAGAAGGATGGGAAACCTACTGCAATGGATTCTTCATTTAGACCTGCCCTTTCTAATAAAGTGTCATGAGGCAGACTTAATGAAAACTCTATTTTTAAGTGAGGAATAAAAATGAAAGGCATTTATGTACAGGAATAGTTTGAGAAGTTAGACACAAAAGTCAGCATGTGACAATCACAGAAACATCAAATCCATAAATACAAAACTTCTAATGCTAGCTATTAAAGGGAATACAAATACACGGGATTCTATTGGTACTCAACCTGAGAAAAATCTTTATAAGAAAATAGGTTGTTTAGCAATGAAAATGATCAATAGTCAATATACTTGAGGATTCTTGATTTTGGGTTGTTTCATGTTCGCAGTTTATTTTGTTACATTCCCTCAGGACGGGATGCTGCTGAACCCCACCGTGAGATATTTCAGCTGGCCAGTGTACCAACATTGAGTTTTGAAACCAGAAGTGCACTGAGGGATAGTATGCATTTTTCTTTTTAATGGAAGGATTTAAAGTGGGAGATCACTTAAAATATATTTAATCTTCCATTAGAAATGAGGGTGATTGTATGATATCTGATCCAAACAGATGCTTTTTATTCTTATTCTGTACTTTTGATAATGCATAGCAAAACATAATCAATATAGAGTCCACACCCAATAAGATACTTCAGTATATATCCAGAGATTTGTGACACAAAGAGCAGTCAGTTCCTTTGTACTTTTTAATAAATATTTTCATTTTAAGAAATAAAAATACAAAAGCAGATGATTATTGTTTCCTGATAAATATTTTTATTCATGAGAGATTTTTGTGTAAAGTCAAGACCTACTATAATATGTTCTAAACCCTGTCCATTTACAATACACTAAATATTATTATTACCTATAGGTACCATGGGACTCCTTTTGCATAATAGATCCCAGTCCTCTTACAGAGTTGCATATGAAAATGTTATCAATGAGCTGCAGAATCTGGCATTAATAACTTTGCAACGTTATAACAAATAGGTAGCCCTGATGTTTTGTTCTTTTTTTAATATATCAAATATATTTCATTGCTTACATTATAGTAGCAGATTGAAAACATCTGCTCACTTGCCACTAGTCCACCAGCAGCTGAAAATCTCAGCTCATTTTCCATAGGCCTGTATGTACCAGGGCTATAATCCAGCTGCTGAGGCTTGATATGGGGCCAGATTAATACTCCAGAGCCTTTGAAATGGAGATAGTGCTTTCTTGCCAAAGATTAGAGCAATGATGGCCTGCATTTGCTTGTTCCCTTCTTCCTCTGCGCTCCTTGACCACCCTTCTTAATTGGATTGATTTGTGTCCTCCCACGATCCCTTCCTGTTGTTTCTCTACAGCTCCATCGCCTGTCATGACGATTAAGAAGGATCGAACGTCCAGAAACAGTATCTCTTTATCTTGGCAGGAACCTGAGCACCCTAATGGGATCATATTGGACTACGAGGTCAAATACTATGAAAAGGTGGGGAGATGATGTTAAAGGGCTGGGTTGTGTAGGGAAAGAGGTAATCTTTTCATGAGCTGTGTACTTGCAAAGAACCCAATGGTGTTGCTAAGAAGCGGTAAAGCTCTTTGGAACTCTGGTATGTGATACCTTTGATTTATCAGTAGGGGGGGGTTTGAAATAATTGTGTCAAATATCCCCCATTCTGGAACAATATGTCACAGCGAAGATGTCAGTACCAAACTTAAGCCATCTAGTTATGGCATTAGAAATGACATTTATGTCCTCTGCTGAGACCCCTGTTCTACCAATTATTTCACAGTGATTCCTTAGCCTACTGATGAGCTACTCCTTAGTACATTGCCTTCAGCATCACTTCCTGACCTTCACATTCACATGAATTTCATTCAGTACAGATGGGAACATTGAGCTAATAGCAAAGCCATTGTATTATTGAACTGGCAATGAAAAGCTTTCTTGATACTTTCAAGGTAATTTGGAAGGTGGGAGTGAATGGATAAGTTTGCTCCATGTCATAAAATTGTGGTTCCGTAATACAATTATAAAAATAGGTACATGATTATTTATAAGTAGAATTTAGGCTATAGTATTTCATCACCTCTAAATGGTACTTATTTCTCCCTGGTTATAAATTATAGATAGGTTCAAAAGTAAGATATTCAAATCTTATCAGAGCTGGATGGTTTTATAGCTACTAATGCGAATAAAACATATTTGTGGGCAGCTGAAAAATATTTGCAAATGACTTAAAATCAAGTTGTGCATTTATATAATACTTTATAGACCACTTTTGTGTACATGATTTTATTTTGAGTTGTCTGATGATCCTATGAAATTTGATAATTGGGTTCATTCACAAATAAGAAAACGGAGTCAGTGGCATTATTTGAATTTCTCACAGCCTCATTGCCAGTGAACAGGTCTCGGTTTTGAATCCTGGCAGCCATGACTCCTTCTTTAGTGTGTTTTCCTGTATTACATGCCTTGCTCTACATGAGAATGGATTATTAGAGACATGAGAATTAGCGGTATGATCAGCTGGCAAAAAAGCGTAATGTATAAACATTCATTTGCATTGTGTAGTTATTCTCTTTATTGAGGTTAATGTATTTCATAAGTGTGATGCCATTTTTTTTCCCATACTGTCCCATGTGGGAAAAGGAACGTCTCTTTCATTAAAAGAAAAGAGAGACCTAATCAACTTCATTGTGCTAAAGTCTTAGTATAAATAACTTTTATATGCTAGCTTTTGGTTCTCCTCTATAGATAGCACTGTGAAATAGTCATCTGATCATGATCTTCTATTTTTAAAAGTGTGACAAGATTGTTTGGGCAAATGTAACAATCCATGTTTTATAGACGATGCAACAAAATAAAAAGAAAAATAATGACACATTCTTAGTTCAGACTGGATAGCAAAGCCAGGACGCACCTAAACTTTAGATCTACAGGGCCAATTAAAAAATGCAGTTAAGGGCGCCTGGGTGGTTCAGTGGGTTAAGCCTCTGCCTTCGGCTCAGGTCATGATCTCAGGGTCCTGGGATCGAGGCCCGCATCGGGCTCTCTGCTCAGCGGGGAGCCTGCTTTCTCCTCTCTCTCTATGCCTGCCTCTCTGCCTACTTGTGATCTCTCTCTCTCTCTGTTTCAAATAAATAAATAAAATCTTTAAAAAAAAATGCAGTTAATTTATATTTGTGTCTAGTATGAACATAAAAAATTCTGAACTTTCAAATTTACTAACAAAGTACAATGCACATCCTTGTATTAAAATAATATTAACAAGTGGCAGGGAAAAAAATGGCTGTATCTATTTATTATTCCCTAAGCATTTTAAAACTAGATACAAATGTACATGCAATATTATCTTTAATATCTGCTTATATAAATATTTATATTAGACATACATAAATTTAAAAATTATTCCCAAATGTATATAATACTTGGAAATATTTTGAATGGTTCCCTAGAATTTAAGCTTTGTAAGGTCTAGCTTTCTTGACTAGTTCACTAACGGTGATGAGCAGAGTCAAGTTTTGGGTATAGGCTCAACAATTTTTTTCACAAATGAAATAATTATTTCTGTAAAATAAATATATTTGATCCTCTTCATTTTTTAATATGCCAGCTTACATGCTATCCAGTACATAACTAGCATCTTTAACTAGTTAGCTCAAAATATCTGTAATGTACACTTCTTCTGTAATATTCTACGTCATTTTGGTTAAGGATATCCACTCTAGGCCTCACCCCAGGTGCAGGGACATTCCACCATTGTTCAAAATCAGGTTCCCCATAAAATACTCCGTGTATATTAATGTGCCTTAGGGGAAAAACACAATTCTGTGTAAATCCATTTTTTCTATACAAGGCTTGACACAAAAAAAACCTTTCCTGTTAATGTGCCCTGTGAATCCCCTAATATACAATTTGTATACAATATACAAAGGATCCCCTGATGGAGATCCTTTGGGGAAATATCTCTAATCTGGAGATATTTGTCTCTACTAAACCACAGTGACTTAGCATAAATACAATGCACATATAACTGATGCTGAGAAAGTTATGAATATAGAGCTATATATAAAACCTGGACTTGTGCTCGCTTCAGCAGCACATATACTAAAACCTGGACCTTTTCTGAGTTTAATATTTCATAATCAATAAAAAATATTTTTCTGAGAATCAGGGCATTCCTATTAAGTTTAATTCACAGGAGTATTTTCTTCATTGTAAGTTTATTTTTGAAATTAGATCAAAGCTTTCATTCAGACTTAGCTTGGAAGAAAAGATATTTTCACTGGCATATTCACGAACTGGTAAGAATGAAAACTTTCCCTGCTTCATGTGCAGGACACTAATCATTTTACCCAAGTTAGGAAATTCTGTATGCCTCTACTGCATTCAGAGAGTGAAATGATTGTCGTCTCTTTTCTATGTCTTATGCTCTGTGTTAAAATCTGAAAGAACTGGTTTTGAGTGGTTCACCTTTTTATCATTTGATAGCATTATGAAGATTTGGTTTTAACATGATTTTTTCTTACCTCAAAGCAGGAGCAAGAGACAAGTTATACCATTCTGAGGGCAAGAGGCACGAATGTTACCATCAGTAGCCTCAAGCCTGACACTACTTACGTATTCCAAATCCGAGCCCGAACGGCAGCTGGATACGGGACCAACAGTCGCAAGTTTGAGTTTGAAACTAGCCCGGACTGTACGTATTATTTCAGCGTCATGTATTGGGAGAGGGCTGCTGTAAAGGTATCTGATAATTCATTCTCATTTTCTCTAAATTTTAATCTCTAAATTTTAACATTTAGAAAATATTTACGTATTGAGATACACTGAAAGTAAATTGCTTGAAATATTTGACAATTTTTATGGTATTGAGTCTGCAGATTTGTGTTTGTGTGGGTATGCATCTGTGTTGTTGTTTTTCTCTTTTACACACCAAATATATTCGAATGCTGAAATGCTACGGGTCCTCTACTGGCCATAAATTGCTTTGAGGAAAATTATGTAATATGGAAACATACTCTCAGTACTTGTTAATCCAGATGTTCTGTGTTCATTGCATAATTCAGTGAATTATTAACACACACACACACAAAAAAAAAAACTTGCTGATATCCATGAGGATTTTAATATTGTTTTAATCCTTAACACATTCAATCTTGTGTCACTTGGAGATTGAGGATTTTCTAAATCGTGATTTATCACCTCATTCACATTCACAAGCAGTTTGGATAGTCTTATGTGTCTGACACCAAATTTGGCATAAATACATCTAAAATTGGCAAACATTTTCCCAGTGGTATTTCTCTTTTCTTCAAATGCATTTGCTTTATATTAGAAAAACCCTCTGCTGAAATATAATGTTTAAAAAGTTAATATCATGGCCACGGTACTAATACAGAGTGAACAGACATTCAAGCTAAGGATTTTATTTAGTTTATTAATTAATGAGGAGACTTTTATATATTTATCTATATTTTATTTATGTTCATTATGTCCTCCAAAAGATTAAACTGGTTTATTTATTTTTTTAGATTAAACAGGTTTAAAGGAAAATTTGAAGAACAGATACATATATACATATAAATACGTATTTGTGTGTGTATCTATATAGGCAATCAGGAATACTTAAACAAATTTACTAATTTGCCCCAAACTGACTAATATCCTATAGGACAACAAATGTAATGATTGAAGTAATCTTTTCTACTGCACATAAACCATTTATGTCTCCAGTGAATGTTTTATTTTAATTATAATGGGAGAAATTATATACATCACTCAGTTGTCTGCAACTTAAATTCAGTTGTAAAATAGCCTAGAAAGGCAATCAAAGATGAACACCTTTTAGAAAGAGACTATCTGGGAAGGGTCTGACAATGGCCAGCACTGTCCTGAAAGGAAACCCAGTAATCTCTTCTGATTTTTCCAATTTGCCATTTCTCCTGGCATGCATATTTCCTATCTAAATATTTTGTTCATGACATTAAAATAATGTTGGCTTTGGTACAGTAATATTTTTATTATGCCCACAATCCATGTCTAATACAAACATTGAAGATTAACATAAATTATAAAAACTGTTCAAGTTAGTGTAATAGTTACTCTATCAGGTAGTTATTTTATGGCACACTTTTGGTCAGGTGATTAGAAATGCTTCTTATAATAACGAGCTGTACCTCCTGCAAGGCACTGATAATCTAGTGTTCTTAGAAATTATTAGCTCACAGCTGAAACATGGCAATTCTTCTAACTCAAAGGGGAGCTGCCATCCTCAAAAGCGCAAGTCTATACTTCAAGACCTCTCCTAATCCTCCGTGATGGATATACATGTTTACCCAACTGTGGCGTCATGGGAGTGCCTGCTTGGATCTCCCTGCTGCCACGCCTGCAGTGGGCAGACAACCTCCAGCTGCTGTTCCTTCAGGACCCACCACAGCCACCATGCACGGGCCATACTTCCCTTGTGGACTAAACACTGCAAGGGGACTGGTGTCAGGCCTTTTCTGACTAATGCAGGATTCCTCTCCGAACAGTCTTCGCTCCAGGACTAGGTTCCAAGGAGAAATCGTTCTCTGAGACAATTCAAAACGAAATGGTACAAATTGCCATAAAAGTACATCTGAACAAGTTTTAAAAACAAATTTAAAATTTTAGGTGACACAATAAAAAAGTTTAATTGCAATTTGACTTTAGTAGTTATAAATCTTTTTGTTAATGTTTAAGTAGTGCAAAACAAGTTTCTTTTTCCTTTTTCTTTTTTTTTTTTTTAAGATTTCATTTTCAAATAATCTCTACACCCAACAAGAGGCTTGAACTCACAGCCCTGAGATCAAGAGTTGCGTGCTCCACCAACTGAGCCTGCCAGGGTCACTGCAGAAAAGTTTCTTGTTCTGAAATGATTACAAATTGAATTTTTCTATCAAACTTTTAAATGATATTTAAGTGAACAACAACAAAATCTACATTTGCTTTACCAAGAAAGATCACAAATCCCAGGAAGAGAAAGAAACAAATGTTCATTATATCCCTATAGTAGAACTTAGGCATATTGAGGGACAGGAGGGTCAGATCACCATTAGATAAACCTTCATTATGTTCCACACATGCAAGTTCTTAATCAGCACTTAACTCTATCTGCTATGTAAATATGCAAAGGGAACAACAAATTCCAATACATGAATGTGACTCCAGATTTACTACAGATATTGCTGGGGTGGCCTTCTGCATGAACCACTTCTGAGGCTTCAGTGTCTGAGGTTGAAGAAATAATCCCATTTGAAAACTATAGGGTCTTGGGGTTTTGCCAGATAAGTTTTATATTTGCAATACTTCCACTGATTGATAGAGCAGTTGAAGAGAAGATAAGGAAAAGATGAGCTTTTTAACACCTCCTCCTCATTTATAAAAATCTTTGAGTTGAGCAGCTTGATTTATTTATTTATTTATTTTTAAAGATTTAATTTATTTGCTTAAGAGAGAGAGAGCAAAAAAGAGAGCCTGAGAGAAAGCACGAGCAGGAGCAGGAGCAGAGAGAGTGGGGGAAGCTGACTCCCTGCTCAGCAGGGAGCCAGTTGCAGGACCCTGGATCATGTCTTCAGCTGAAGGCAGACACTTCACTGACTGAGTCACCCAGTCTCCCCTCAGTTTGATTTAAAGAAAAAAAAAATCAATTTACTCTTGCTGCTTCAGCATAGAATTATTCCAGCCTTTAAATATAGATGAGGAAAAAAAAGTATTTTTTGTCTTAGCCGGGGAAAAAAAGACAAAAATCAACTTTCTATTTTTTTTTTTTAAGATTTATTTGAGAGAGAGAGAGAATGGGGGTAAGGGCAGAGTGAGAGAATCTTCAAGCAGACTCCCCAGTGAGTGTGGAGCCTGATGTGGGGCTCGATCTCATGACCCTGAGATCATGCCCTGAGCCAAAACCAAGAATCAGATACTTAACCAACTGAGCCACCCAGGTACCCCTAAGTTTCTATTTTTTTTAATCAAAATGATATCTTCTTAAAATTCTAAGAACTTAAGAGTCTTAATTGTTATATATTGATATTTATATATTATGTAATATTTATATATATTATATATATAAAGTCTCATGTTGGATTTCTTTTAACAATTTGCTATTTATTGTACTTTTTATTTTTTTAATTTTTCTAGTTTTTATTTTTAAAAATTATATGAAAAGTTCTCATTCATAACACATATACATAATTTTCAATAGAACAAAGTATATCTTTACCTGGAATTTAGATAATATTTTTTGAGCTTGGTTAAAATGTCTTACTTTTTACAATGATTATCATCTTCCTCTTACCGATGAGGAAACTGAGAAATAGGGAGGTTTAAGCAAGTTTTCCAAAACCATACCATTGGTAAATTACGGGTCTGATACTAGAACCCTGTATTTATGTGATAATATATTACGCATTCTTATAAGTCATTTTATCTGGTCCTGTTCTGTAAGCTATTCAAATACTATTATTTCCTTTTTATGTGGCCTAGGACACAGAGTTTATATGGTTTTTTCTCAGGTTGTATAGCCAATAAGTGGGGTCAATAACCCTACAATCTTCAAGTTTTGGAGTACTGATCCAGTGCTGTGATTGCATATTAAAAATATATTTATTAATATATTATTTATATATGTACATATTAATTAATTAAATATGTATATATATGTAATGTTGAAGTGGTAGAGATTATAGGAGTAAAGAAGCATCCCTAGAGCCAAGGCAACATCTCCAAAGCAAGAAGGACGAAGAGTATGAAACTGTGGCATGCTTGGAAACACAGTCAACTGTCTAGAAACCCTCAGTGGGCAGACACGGAATCCACAGCACTTTTTGCCAGTTTTTCACTGAGGAAATGAAATAATAAAAATATGTAACATTTATTAAGCACTTACTACGTGCTTTGGCACTGTTTTAAGTGTTTTAACTGCATTAGCCCATTTAATCCCATTTAATCCTCACAACAATGAGATATTATGTCACACAACAAATAAGTGCAAATTCAGGCATTCTGGTTCATAAGAACGAGCTCCTAACCAGCCGCTTTAGGGAGAGGAAGCTGGCAGTATGTATAGGCTATAGTAAAATGGGCAGAGCCTAGCTAGAAACAGGAGAAGCAGTTTGCTTGTGGGATTAAATATTCAAAATGAGTTTCTAAGACACATAATAGATATCAATGTTTAGCAGCATGCCACATAAAGTCATTGGACAACTCTGTTATGCATTTAGTCAATATTACTCATTAAAGTGTTTGCTAATTTCACCAGCAAAAACGATCAGTTTGATTATGTGCTTTAGATAGTCTCCAGGATTCATAGCTATTTAGAGCTAGAGGAAATTGCAGAGATGTTCTACTGCCTGTGACAGAAAAAGAAATCGAGAAGTCCTCTTCCTTCTATCATGTTTCCCCTCCCAGTTTCACTGACCTTTATTTTATCAACTGGCTAAAATGTACAGAGAATGTAGAACTTGCTGGGCTTTATAAGTTATTACAGGGTACAAAATGGAAAGCATGCGATCGAGTTATTATTATAGGTTTACGGAGCATTATTGAATCACTAGGTTAAGTTATTTTGCAAACTAATCACAGATCAATGTCCCATGCATGGGGATGTATCAGTCCAGGTCTTCTGGGAGGCAGATGTGAAGATGGAATTACAATAGCTTTATAGGGGGAGATGCAGGTAGGGGGAACAGGCGGGAAGAGCAGAAGTGGTCAAGCAGCACCTCCGGCTGGGATGTAGGTCAGCTGTCTGTGAAGAGCTGGAGGGAAAGAGAAGCATGGAGAAGGAGGAGCCTCAGACAGCAGTGCAGCTCGGAGGGTCTCACAAGCCCATGGGGAGCCCCAGAATGAAGACTGCTGTTGAGGAGTCCTGCACTGAGCAGGGAGGGCCTGGCTCTGGTCCCCTAGGGTGGTTAGTCATGGAGGGGAGCATGGCCCGTGCATGGAGGCTGCGGTGGGTCCTGAAGGCACAGCAGCTGGAGGCTGTCTGCCACTGCAGGCTTGGCAGCGGAGAGATCGAAGCAGGCACTCCCATGACTGCCACAGTGGTGTAAACAACAGTTTGCTGGTAGTAAAGAATAAAGTGCTTGAAGCAGTTTATATTACGAGGATGCCATCCTGCCGCACTTGGAGCTCTTTTTTTCAGATGCTGAGGAAACTTCTCATAGCCTATCTGCCATGTCTCTTCATTTGTATCATTTAGCTGTTCCTAAAGCAGCGTTATTTTCCAGAAAACCTTCCAAAAGTTAGATGTTGATGAGGCTGAACATCTGATACTGGCTTCTGGAGAGGAGAGGGTATTCAAATAATCAAACTCTGTCATCTAAGCTGTTTTGATACATCCCTCATTCATTTGTGCACCCACATTTATTACAAGAGTAATATATGTTAAAATATGAGCATGTGAAAGGGGTTGTTCCAGGAGCGGAGCATATTTTTAGAAGGTCTAGAGATCAGGATGCTTATGGAGTTTGTTAGTAGCTGAGGCTGGGGGTAGAGACAAGGACTAGGATCTTAAGTGGCTTTACCTGCTCTGGTATGGAATTTGCATTTTATCTTAAAAGTGATGGAGAGCCCTGCAAAACTTTTATGCAGGAGAATGACATGGTCAAAATCATGGTTTAGAAGGAATACACTGATGGCCATGTAAATAGAGACCAATTAGGAATTTCTAATTGTAATCCAGAAAAGAAATGAAGACATAAACTAAAACACTCAAAGAGTTTGGTAATTAATTGGATATTGAGTGATCAGAAAAGGGAAAAGACAAGATGACTTCATGTTTATGATCTACATCTTTGCTATTCAAAATGTTGACTGGGTCAGCAGCATCAGCATCACTGTGAGCTCACAAGAAAAGTACAGTCTTGGTCCCCATTCTAGACCAACTGGATCAGAAACAACTTTTCCAAAAGATTCCCAAGTGGTTTGAATGAACACTGAAGTTAGAGAAGCATTGGTCTAGCTCAAGGGTCAGTAAGCTTATTCTGTAAAGGGACAGATAATAAATATGTCAGGTTTTGTGTGTATAGTCTCTGTTGTTCCTACTCAACTTGGCTATTGTAACATGAAAGTGGCCAAAGACAGTACACAATTGAATGTGGTTGTGTTCCAAAGCAATTTTACTTATGCACCAAAACTTGAATTTTATATAATTTTTACGTGTCAAGAAATCTTCCTTTAACTTTTTACAACCATTAAAAAATATATAAAAATAATGTGAACTCCTGGGCTTTACAAAAATTGGTGGCAGGCCAGGTTTGATCCCTGGGCCTTTTTTGCCAACACCTCATCTAGGTGAGTGAGTGAGTAATGGGCCATTCACAAAGGTAGGAAATACAGGGAGAAGAACAATTTGTTGGTGGCATGTGTTGTAAAACATTTAAATAACTCTAGATATTGGAGGCTAAACAAGCTTGATTAGATTGTTTTTATCATTTTGTTCCTGGAACTCTTACCTGTTCTCTATGTGCCTCTGGTAACTTTTGGTTTATCCAGTGAGTTTCTCTGTAGTGAGGATAGACAAAACCAGCCCAGGATATTTCACACGCTAGGCACTCAAGGTGTGTTTGATTGTTGCCATTGAAACAGAATACTTTATCTTATTGATTAGAAATTTCAAGCACCATTGTAAGAAATATCTATTTTTTTTTTTACACGAAATGAAGAGTTCTGTCTACACTGTCTTAAGCAGTAAGCCATATTTCAGGTAAAACCAGTGTAAATATGGTTTTTCTGTGCAAATGTTAGTTTGGTGTGTTAATGCCTGGCCTTTTCTTATTTTTCTCCTCTACCTCACAGCTTTCTCCATTTCTGGGGAAAACAGCCAAGTAGTGATGATTGCCATTTCAGCGGCGGTGGCGATTATCCTGCTCACGGTCGTCACCTACGTCTTGATCGGGAGGTGAGTTCACGGGCTCTTTTACCACTTACTTTCATTATTGCTTTGCCTGCTCCCCTCAGTGACCACTAAAATCCAAAGGTTGTGGTCCATGAAGTATTTTAACAAATAAGCATGTCTCCACTTAGATCTAGATCTTTCGTCTCCTCCCTTTCTTTTCTTTCTCCATCTTTAGTTTTGATTTTTCTTTCCTCCATTAAATTCCTGCCCCACTCTTCAACACATTCCACTTCTCCTCTCTCTCTTGACCTCACTTGTAGTTTTTACTTTCTTTTTCCAATTATCCTCTCACTCTTCAAATACGCCCCAGATTTCCCTGCCACTTTCTCACCCAGAACACTAGTAACACAGCATAGTGCTAATCACTAACAATGGAGACTTTACCCTTCATTCATTCTAACAGCAGTTGTTTAAAAAAAAAAAAAAAAAAAAAAAAAAAAACTATAAACACTTTCTAAGGCTATTATAAAAACTGAGCTGAAGGGGTCTGCCCAGTGGGGAATCAGCTCTATGTATCTCCTCATTAGGCAGCTTTCCAGAGTCCCTAGAGAAAGAGGCTTTCTATAAAGGATTTAGAAAATATGAAGTCATTAAACTTTCACTAAAGCATTTAATTGTTTGAGGAAAATGCTTTACTTTTTTGTGCTTTGCACATTCTGCGCATAGATAATTGCTTTAAGTATATTTTCTTTCTGTGTTCTCTTCCCTTGACTTAACCTCCAGGTTCTGTGGCTATAACAAGTCAAAACACAATGCAGATGAAAAAAGACTTCATTTCGGGAATGGACATTGTAAGTTCCTAAGCTGTTTTGGTGCTTTGGTTTTTACCATTTCAGTTTTCCCAGTTATTGATTTGTAATTGGATAACTTCCCCACAAAGAGAATGCAAAAGTAGTTCTATGAAAGAATTGAGCAAATTAAATTAATTTTAAATGGAGAAGGAAATTCATGGCTCCGCATTAAGTAATTTTTACATGGTCACATTTCAGCATACTTAAGCTAAAGGGAAGGATAACCTGTGGTTTCTATCCAGATAATGCATAGGATGTGGAGCGTGGTCTATAGGCAGCTCTGCGTAGCTGAAAGGCAAAGCGTATCTTCAATTTCCTCATTTCTTGTCCTTTGCTAAAATCTAAATAGGAACCTTTTCCTTTTCCTAACTCCCAAATAAATATAAACAACCTCTGTTTATGTGAAATGCCTTACTCTGTTTTGTCAACCAACCAGGAGAGAGCCTTTAAAATAAACTATATTTTGGAGTTATACGATATCCAACTGGTAGGAAATCCTACACTTTTCCCTCATATTTTAATACCAATCAGTTTAGTGTCTTTTTAATATTTTCTAAAAGAAATACTTTCTTTTAGGAAATGAAGTGTTTATATCTAATAAGAAGACTCTTTTTCTTCTTCTTCTTCTTCTTCTGGCAAAATAAATCATCCCAGGTGTTTTGATTTTCCAAACTATGGCTCAGTTTAATGTGGCAATTACTAATCAGTGGACTCAAAGGGAATGTTCTTATGGAAATCAGTATAGATTTATGTGCTCTCAAATAATCTCAATATTACTAATGTGGTCTTGTATGCATTACTCTCTTTGGAGTTTCACCGTTGCCTTGTAAAATTATTGTCGATTCAGCATCATACTTCATATCAGTCAGTGGCTTTGCATCTAAAAATTATAGCTCTAGTTATAACTCAAGTAAAAGCTTGATTACCTGTAGTTAACATGCAGGGGGCATACAGTGGCTTGCAAACAAACAAACAAAAAAAAAGTCTTCCAAAATGTAAATTGATGTAATGTGAACACCGTAACAGAGTTTACAGAGAACATTTTCTGTTTTCTCCATCTCATTGTAGTCCTTACAGAATAATTCACAAAAGCCAAAGTAGTACCTTCCTAGTAGCCTCACTTCATCATTTCAGATTAGTTAGGTTACCAACTCAGAAGTCGTAAAAGAATGAATGAGCAAATTACAGGATACTTGTCTAGCTTTTTTCATCATCCCCAAAAACACAGAGTCCCAGTCACCATGCATAAATTAGAGCAGTTACATTCCTGTGGATTAAGTTGTTCTTAATTTGGGTTAGATAGTCAATGTAAATATTGTCTTTAGAGCAAAACCATACTTTTTTATATCAGAATTGTAAATCTCATGAATTTGGAACAATGATAAATTTCTGTAACCCAACTGTAAACAGGTTCCTCTATCACTCCAGTCTGTTTTAGCTGTTGGTTTTTCTGGGGGAGTTGGTTGAGACTTTAATTTTCTTCAAATGCACAATATTCTTATGACAGACAAACAAAAAAGAAATGCATTTTATCCGAGCTATAAGGGCATAAGGTAACTTATGTGCATGTCATAAACTTTCTGCGTCTTAATGCTACAGCTGGTTTATTTCAGACCACTTATTTGGTATTACTTTAAAAAGCTCTAGCTATGAACTATTCCCTCCAGCCTTGTTACAAATCCTATAATATTGCTTCAAAAGGAAAGAAATGTGTTTCACCTCCTAAGATCCTGTCCCCTTGCCCTCTCTGGCTAGGTCTTTTTATTTTTTGCTATCCTTAGGGCAACTCATGCTGGTAAAATGGAAATGTAAATTATTGTGTTTGCACAGAATGAGCTGTAAAGTAGTGCAGCTTAACACGTGTGCATGTGTTTATTATCTGGTTTTCTTGACACAGCCCAGCTACTCTGTATGTTGCCCTTAATTATTGGTGTGAAGGGATTATGTGCCTTGTATCCTGTATCACCTGATTCCTGGAACCTCTAGGGTCAGCAGTTAAAAGTCAGCAGCCAAAACTCCCACAGTGAACAGGCTATTTTATTTGGGGATGTGTGTATTTTTATATTTGTATTGTTCCCCAAATTTTGTGTGGATAAAAAAAGCAATGTATATGATTTTACTTCATTGAAACGAGTTTGATTGATTTTAGTTGGAAACGATATTGAATTTTCAGATTATTTAGTAATACATGTATTACCCTACGGCTGCCGGGTATGAGAGGTAACTCTAAGCACACTTTCAAGGCTGTTTAAAACCAATGCTTATTTAAAATGTTTGTGGCTTTGCTCCTGATAGCTCATTTTATTATGGTCTTTGCAAATTCTGATGATAGTAAATTGCTTCCAACTTCATTTCCTTGAGGTGAGCAAAGTAAAACATTTGTAATTGTTCACAAGAAAAATTTTCATTTTGGGGGAAAAACATGATTTTTACCTTATCTTTAAAAATGTTTCTTTTTCCTTGAAAAGTAATACTTAATTTCCTTACCTTACTAGTTCTTTACCTTACAATCTACTAGCGATAAATCAAAACAGAATGATCCTATAGCCTAGCCAAACTTTGAGGCAAGCCTTCATTAAAATGTAACCAAATTGACTTCATGAAAAGATTTTGACACATTTTATTTCCTGACTTTTTATGTAAGTCTACAGTTATTTTACTGGTTTCCTAAACCTAAGCAAGAAAAGTATGAGAGCTTTCCTTAATCTGTTTCCTTGTTTTAAGGGTAAAGTGTTTTGATACTGATAATATTGAAATAGGTTTAGTGTAATAATAAACTATAGAAGACCACTGTCCTAAAGAGTGGCTCAGCCATCTGTTTTGATAGGAAGCAATAATGTTTTCAATAATGGCAGAAGCTTGCAAACTGATCTGGGAGCTCAAAAGGACTGGACACTTCTGAGCCCAAATTCTGTCTCTAGAAACCTCAATCACATTAATAATTGTGAATGAACATTCTTAACATGAAAATACTTATAACGACAAATAGTCTCTCTCATTTTTTGGACCTTAACCACATAACAGGCACTCGTGCCAGGCGCCTGAATAGCAAGTTTTCAAGAGCCTTCTTTCTCTGGAACCTCATTTATTCTTTTTGCTGAGCTGTTCAAAGTAGAAAAGCTTCAAAAGTAGCAGTTCTTACCTTCAAAAGCTATTTTACTCCACAATTTGCCCAAGCCAGAGCAAAGGACTTGTCGCTTCCCCATTTCTGTGGATGTAACTCCCTAGATATGTCTTCTCGAAATATCGGCACTTGGCCTCAGGATGGAGAGGCGGCACTGTGGTGGCGCTCCTGTCAACACAGGCTTGAGTAGGACGAGTGTTAGCCTTTCTTCTCCATTTGTTTTCCAACTCTCCCAAACCCACTCTATAGTCTCAAAATCATCTGAAGACATAGCTGAGGACAACTGATTTTTTACTCCCTAACCACCATTTATTTTTATAATCCAATTTTTTGTATGCTTCTATTTCATTACTCAAAACTTTTATGGATACTTTGCAGGAACATAAATTATTATGTGGTGTAACCATGCCATTTATAAAGATGTCCTATAGGTCAATGAACTAATTCTTTCTCAGCCCACACTATGAAATGCTAGACCTGTTGGCCTAATGTCCATTGAGCTGAAGGCTTTCCAGAATAATTGCGGTCTTCAGTCGTTGTACCCATTTCATGCAAAGTCCAAAATGGAGTCGAAGAAGTCTTTGGTCATCACAGAATGTTCAGTTGCATTTGTCATTAAGACTTTCAATAAAAAATTAAACCGGAAAGGGTAACATCTGATTTTGTTACTTTAGTATTAAAAAAATCTTTTGATAATATAGTGTGATAAATGAAAAAATATATCACTGTTTGTCATCCCTGCCCCTTGCTAAAACAATGTTACTAATATTTTTTTACCAATGTTACCAAAATTAAAAGTAAAAATCCATCATATTAGTACATACACAATATTCTTTAATGTTAGAGCATGTTTGTGTACTTTAATAGAGCCTATTCTCCCTTTTTAAAAATTTAGTTTTAGGGGGTGCCTGGCTGTCTCAGCTGGTAGAGCCTGTGACTCACAACTCAGGGCTGTGAGTTCAAGCCCCACATTGGGCATACAGCTTACTCAAAAGAGAAAAAAATAGTTTTAATTTAGAGAAAATTAGTTTATTGAATATTCCAAATTTTTTCTAATGTGACTTATTTTTCCAAATGATAGAAATCTCATTAATATTAAATCAGATCCAAAATGATTCTCCTGAATCTTCCATCCATGCTATTTTAATTATAGATCATCACAAAAAATTTTGCCTTCAGAATAATTAAATAAATGCATATATGATGAAGGAGGTTTATATATAATAAAGTATAAATGTAATTTATGTTTGGAATTTAGCTTCTTAGAACCATTATTAAACTTACAGAGAATCTATATTGTCCTTAACTATGTTGAAAAACTATACAATAAGATTTCAGTTAATTGTACATGCGTGTAATAGTACATGCATATAATACTCACATTATATATACATATCCTCACAGGTTTAAGAAGACCTACAATTGCAATGTGAAATTTTGATTGTGAATGTTACTAAAAGGAGAATAGTGTCAGACAAAACCATGATGTTTTATATTCTTTAATTAATTTGTCTGTAATTATAGCTGCCATTCCACCTTATGAAATTATTTCACAAACTTTGATTTATTGTCAGATGTGGCCTTGTTATAAATATCTGTTTACTGCATGCTTTGTAGAATCATAAATGTGTAATAGTGTGATGGTGTTCATTCACTCATGCTTCTGGTAATAATTACTGGGTCTACTCAATCCTGAACCATCCTCTCCTTGAGATTCTGCTTTTTGAAAGTTCATTTTCCTTCTAATGCTTTTCTAGAGAAAGTTCATTGTGTTTCCTCTTTTGTTTCATTATGGGAAACTTTGTTTCTTAAGTGGTTCAATACTTAGTCCAACTTCTCTGTCTGCCAATTGCCATGATAACCTGAGAATAAACTAAAGTGGGTGTACTTCTTTGTAATGGGGATTTTTTTCCACTGATAATGTGATTATGTAATTGCATCAGTAAAATTTAAATAAATCTAGCTATAATAATGCCTTTCTTCCTTCCCTTAAACAGTAAAACTTCCGGGTCTCAGGACTTACGTTGACCCACATACATACGAAGACCCTACCCAAGCAGTTCACGAGTTTGCTAAGGAGTTGGATGCCACCAACATATCCATTGACAAAGTTGTTGGAGCAGGTAACCACCAAAATAATCCCACCCCCAACCCTGTGTTAATTACAAGTTTACAACTATGAATAAGAATGCTGTCTGAGATCACTCAAGTTCTCAAGCCTAAGTTATATTGCTATGAAAAGGGACATTTTTCCCCTGATTTCATGATCAAAGGCAGGCAATAAATAAATGAAGGAGCATTTAACAGAATGTAATGATTTCAAAGGTGCCAGACTTACAGACTCACAGACCATGGCCAGCTTTTTATTTATTGAATTTCAGAGCCGGCAGCCGCAAGAGCTCAGTCCTCCCCGGGCTGTGCTGATCATGTGTCACAAAGCCTATTTGGCTGAAAATGGGATAACAGGATGAAAGTATCTTACTTTAAACAAGCTCACGAGGTGAAAATTTTGATTTTGTAAAAAAGGTAATTTTAGAATCCTCTTCAGAATTAAAAAAAGAGACAACACAAAATAAAATCATAAATGACACATTTTATTCAAATTTATTCAAAACTATTTTTGAGTGAACAGTTTAAATGGTTCATTTTAATATTTGCCTGTAACTTTGTATAGTCTTAATTCATTTGCGTTGAAGCTTGCTTTCATATAGACATCTCTTCATTCTAATCATGAATCTAGTCAATCATAGATCCATTAACAAACACCTATGGATTGTTAATAGCAGATTCATATTTCCAATAAAAATTATACTTACAAAATAACGATATTTTCACAATTACACATTAACATATGGACATATACAAACACGCAGTGTGCAGTTGAATAAAAACTACTACTTAAAAGTAAAAATAAATATTGTACAGTAGTTTCATTCCATCATCTCATTAGTCAATATTGTTTTGAAAACAAATGGAAAGTTGATGTAGGAAATAGAAAGATTGAGAAATTAACTCATTGAATTATACATAACACATCGAATCATGTTTTCGGCAAGTACTATATATATGACTGATGCTTCTTTACACAGATGTGCATATAATTTCTCTGTTTCTCTTTCTGTACATGAAAGCAGTGTTTAGAATTCTAGCGGCGTTTGCTATTCAAACAGGACAGTCTGAGTAATTCATATTATCTAAATAAAACGATAATTTACTAAATCTTCTCCTCCAACTTTATTCATATTTTATTTTCCTAAAACTCACATGAGCAGGTAATATTAAAATATGGAACTAGCAATTGATAAAAGGAGAATAGAGTATGTGCTTCCTTTTCCACAATCTCAGACTTAAGAATATACACACTCATCGTATATCTGTGAATGCAGTTGGAACAAATATATATTGATTACTCTCTTTCATTTGTGCAGTTCTGCTTTGTAAACTTCTCTGTGACATGGGGGCTTTTTGTCGTGCTGGTATTAATGTCCCACAAGAGTGCACTGTTCCCCAGCATGGAAACCTCAGGGGCATAGGTAGCATAAAGACTTTGCACACTCAACCGATGTGAGGAGGAGAAACCCATTTAGGCTCAGCCAGTGTCCAGAAAACCAGACAAACACATCAGGACCTTGAACTTTGGGACTCTCTGCATTAATAAAATTAAATATGTCAATGTTATTGATAATGCCAGATATCTAGAACAGAGTGGTGGGAGACAAAACACATTAAAAATGGTATCTGATGGGGCACCTGGATGGCTAAGTGGGTTAAAGCCTCTGCCTTCGGCTCAGGTCATGATCCCAGGGTCCTGGGATGGAGCCCCACATTGGGCTCTCTGCTCCGAGGGGAGCCTTCTTCCTCCTCCCTCTCTCTGCCTGCCTCTTTGCCTACTTGTGATCTCTGTCTGTCAAGTAAATAAATAAAATCTTTAAAAAAATAAAAATGGTATCTGATAAATGAAGAAATGCTACTTATACTAACTCACTTAATAATCCCCGACACTCATTAAAGATCAGAACAAACATCTTATTTCATTTCTCTCTTCAAACATATTTGTAAAAAAATAGACATATGCCCCATTTTCAGGTTTTTGTAGCCAATATCCTTATTTGCCACATTCAGGGCAATAATACTGTGCCTGCTTTGTTTGCAAACAAGTATATCTTCAAGGTCGATTACACTTCTCCTGGAAGATTGCAGTATAATATTGAATCCAGCCAATTCTAGTCTGTTTTGATTTGCCTTTCAAGGGTTTGTCATCACCAAGACAGAATAGTAGATGGAGATTTTGAAAGCTATCAATTTTTCTTAAAATTTTGTTTTGAAAAATGTAAACTATCTACAAAAGTAGATGAAATTATATAATAATAAAATGGAGAATATAGTATAATAGTACCCATTTCCACCACAACTTCAATAACAATGTATTCCTGGCCAGCCTTCTTTCATTTATACACTTACTCATTTCCTATATCCTTTTAAATTTTTAAAAGTAATATTGTTGATAAAAATTTAATAATTATGCTAAACCAATTAGCATTTATCTTCCAATTGCTACAGGACTGAATCTTTCAGTCAAAGACAGAACTTTCTCAGTCAATTAAATATGCAGAAAGACTCTACATATGTGAGCTAATTCTCTACTTTTCTGTAGGATATATTATAAAAAGAAATAGGTATAATGGAAACTTTTATTTATACTTTGGCTAATTAGAAGAATTATGCCCATATTGCAAATAACAGAATTAAAATTGAACCACAAATTGACTTACTCAAAGTAGTAATTTTTTTAATATTGGAATTCAGGATGACTCAAATTTCCAGTTTTATTCCTCCATCCAACCATTATTTCAAAAATTAAATACTGAAAATTTCTAAAAGTAGACTATGTTCATTTAATTCCCATTCTACTAGACATTCACATGGTATTTAATTTTATTAGCCATTTGGGTAGGCATCGTCTCCATTTCACCAGATGAGGAAACAAGAGCTAAAAATCTGAATGACCTATAGTCACATAGTTATTAATTGAAAACCAAAATTTGAATGTTGTACTTTCCAATTTCAAAGTTCATACTAGACACTAATAATGACAGTAATACCTTCATCTAACATTTGTGTGAGGATTGAGATAATTCTTACACATTGCTTACCTGACACATCCACATTGTTCCATATATATTTTTATTATGCTTCTCTTGTTAAAACAGTAGAAAGAGAGTGGATTTTGAAGCTAAGGCAGAGTGTCATTCTACTTAAACACAAGTAGATTTTTTTCTTCTATTTTAAATGACACAAGTGTAAGAAATTTTATTTTGAGCAATTTTGCACTGTGTATCTTATATCCTTTATTTCAAAGGACAAATAAAAACTGCTGCACTTACTGGATTTAAAAAATCAAGCAATGACTTCCAAGGATCTTCTTGTAGTTGCACTTTCACCTAGAAATGATGGGAATGACAGGATCTAGTTTTTTTTTTGTTTTTGTTTTTGTTTTTTAATAGGCTCAAAGTTAATTGAATAAGACCATGTAAAATCCAGCCTTGGGTTTGGCCAATCTTTATTAATTTTTCCAACACTGTTGTTTAAGTTAATATAAAGAGAACTGAATTAATATTTTATATTTCTATGTTTAGTAAAATATATTGGTGACCATTTCTGGTATTTGTATGGTGAAACAATCACATTTCAAAATTTGGTTTTTTTTTTTAATTACCATTACTGAAACATCCTTTTCTGAATTTTGGAGGTAGATAAACATTTACATATGTTGGCTATCCCATTGAGAAGAAAGAAAGGAACTCTAATTGACCAACTTGAAATTCAAACTCTTCCTCTGATGGTTCCAGTGAGGTACTCTCACAAAATGCTGTCCTTCACTAATACTTGTCCAAGGTGACATTAACCTTGCTACCACCATCATCATCACAACCACCTATTCACACATCAATACAGAATTTGACAGTTTAAAAAGCATTTTTATATTTGTGCTTCAATTTGATCTAACTTTTTAGAGATAGGTAATTTATCTTTCTTAAGGTGGGTCTGAACTCAGAAAAGAAAATAGTGACCAACACATAGATGATACTTACTATGTGTCTTTACATAATATTCATTCCTTTATTTGCACAAACACCTTATGAGTTAGACACAGTTGGTGTTCCCAAGTTACAGACAGGAGACAAAAGAACAGAGAGGTTAAGATGCTTGCTTAAAATAACATGGCTAAGAGGTTACCAAGGCAATTAGACCCTAGAATCCATACTCTGTCCACAGTTCTGTACTGTCTGTCCTGCAATCTGTTGACAAGTGATTTATTGCCTAGAATAAGTGATGATAACATCAAAATTTAAAACGATGCATTACAGCATATTGGCTTATGATGATGGCAGAACTTAGAGAAAATTAAAGCTTATTGTGGATGATTCTTTATGGTTTACTCAAAATTAATGTTTACACAACATGAACTGGAGATCTCTGGAAATGTTCTAATAATCCAGTATCATGAAAGGAATGCTAATTCTTTATATATATATATATACTTATGTATATATATATGTATATGTATATATTTCTGTGTGTACGTGCACGCAAAAGAGAGAGCACATGTGTGTGCACAAGGAGGGGTGCAGAAGGAGAAGCAGCAGACTCCCCATGGGGCAGGGAGCCCAACTCAGGGCTGGATCCCAGAAACCCAAGATCATGACCTGAGCAGAAGGTAGACCATTGAGCCACTCCCTGCAGCCTTTACTCATGCTTACATATTCTAACAATGGTTTACTTTGCATCGTAACTTCTCCCCCAAATACACTCTATAATGACATATTCTACTTTGGATTTCAAAAAGTCAATGAATGTTCTCAAATTCTGCCCCGATTCTCCCTGTAATCTGGAAGAACACTCTAGCTACAGATACTGCTATCTTCTCTATACTCCCTCAAAGGGAAGAAATGAGATCTATCTTATTTAGTATTATAACTCTGTGTTTTTCAATGTGTCTTGTCACACTCTTGCCAATTGATGGGTATGTATTAAAAAATGTATAAGTAACTGCTTTTGGACGTTAAATGAATTTGACCAGTTACAGCATAAGTCATTGTTTTGGAAACAGATTCCAAAAACCACCAGTTTGGAAACTGGATTCCTGAGAAAGGGTCAAATCTGGGGGAGTTTAGAGCTTCCTGGAGAGAAGCAAGCCGCTCCTAGTAATGCAGCTGGTAAATCAATAGGATAACCTGCTGCTTTTGTGGGTTGAACCACTTGTTTGAACAAAATATAGGAAAGAAACATCTCACTTCTTGACAGCTTTTCTCTGGCTGAGCCATGGGACATGGAGCTTGTACAAAAACTCACAGTGAGAAGGTTGGACCAAGAATGCTCTTCCATTCCATAGTACCCTAACAATGTAATTAAACCTTTTCAGAAAAATCTCTCATTTGATATTTAAAAAGAAAACACATTTTAAGGTATTGTACAAATCCACATAATATTAGGATTTCCTCTATGAACAAGAAACGTTCTATGGGTGGCACTATTTTGTGGCAATTACCATGGCAAGCAGTGGGTCAGAGAAATGAATGTAAAGAATGTCTGCTCTCAGTAAGCTCAAAATATGATGAAAGAGTTATGGGTAAATCTTCTCAATAACAATATATATGAAGTTAGCACCACAACTATTTCTAGGCAGTTTTATATTAGTTGGCTTAGACTATTTAAAAGTCAGCAACACTCCATATTTAGTAAATTCTGGATTAATCATGCATTTAAGACAAGGTTTTTTTATTGGAGATATTGAATCAAAGAGAATATTTATAGTGATTCTATAGAAAAGATTATTACCTTTTTTTGATACTAGTATTTTCTTCTTCCTTCCAGAAGCTCAGAGAATTTTACAACTAGTATGTCAGTAATGCGACATGCCAATACTCCAATAAAATGAATTAGTAGCAGATGCTTCTGTTCTCATTTTCAGAGAGTCTGAGTATATCACTAAACTGATTCTCTTAGTAATGACAGAATGGCTGGAAACATCTGAAATTTAATCCATTGCTCAACCCATAATATCTGTGTTGGTCTGCTGATCAACCTCAGGAAATGGTAGCTATGAGAATAAGGAGTTAAAACCCTATTAGATATAGCGTTCAACTTTCCTTTGGTTCTTTCATATTTTATTATCACAATGTGGTACTTGAAAATGTATGAGGCCACTTACAAGGTCCATTTTCCATAGGGTGTGGATGCCCTGAGGTTTCTTAGGGAGTCTCTGATTACCGTCTTCTGAAACAAGTTGAAAGCCTACAGCGTACATCTTGTGGGTCAAAGGTGTAAATATTTTGAATGGGATTATTGAGGGGAAAGAATTACTCTTTACTGATACCTTTTTATTATATAATTCATTACCTTTTGTTGTGGTTCTGTTCTTCTAACAGGTGAATTTGGAGAAGTGTGCAGTGGTCGCTTAAAGCTTCCTTCAAAAAAAGAGATTTCAGTGGCCATCAAAACCCTGAAGGTGGGCTACACAGAAAAGCAGAGGAGAGACTTCCTGGGAGAAGCAAGCATTATGGGACAGTTTGACCATCCCAACATCATTCGACTAGAGGGAGTTGTTACTAAGAGTAAGTCAAGTCAAAAGACAGACTTTGCCTGTGTTGAGCAGAGGTTATTTAAAACTAAACTCAATCATTAAAGAATTTCGATTTTTGATTTTTTTTTTAAATCAGTCAGTCTTAACAGAAAGACTATTTGGGGTTAACATGTCTTTCTTTGACAAAAGAGCGAAGATAATTTAAGTAGTTTTATATTGAAAGTGCTATTCTAGATCTTTAAAAATTGGAAAAATATAGGAGCTAAAAAAAATTGGTCTGTATTAAGACATACTGATGAAAAGACAGTTAAGAAGTGAATTGTGGAGAATTCTCTGTTATGTAGAGTAACAAGAAAAAACAGTGACTCAATTTTGACAGGAATTGCTGGGAACTCCCAGCTAGCTGCCTTTTCTTTTACTGTTCACCAGTTTCAGTTAAATTTCTAAATCTTTACTCCCTTGATTTTAGGAAAATTATGGGAGTTTGGGGACTGCTTCTGAGCTGTAAAGATTGGGATCACATTAGACCCTAGGCCTTTTCCTGGTTCTCTGTGGATTTCAAATAATTCTAATCTAGAGTCCCAGATGGATTTTTGACTGGTCTGGGGAAATTCTGGCTCACTGCCCATGATAGAGATCTGAACTTATTTCCATGATAGTTTCTCCAGCCAGACGCAAAAGGAATCCCGTGAGGCAGGTATGTGATTTTTGGCTCCAGTACCAATGAAAACCTCTTGAGAATGCTCTAGGATTTTTTTTTTTTCCTCAAGATTTTAGAGCACAGGATGAAGAATAAGCTAAACTGGCAGCAAACTACCTAGAGCAAAAGACAACATATGACAGGAAATTTGGCATCCTTTAGGGGATAATTCATTGGCACCACATTTACATATTCTATGGTTACCAACAGACATTATACATTATATTTTTCACGATGATATTTTTCTTTAACATTACATGGAGCACTTTCCAAATGGCACTAATACCTATTCTCATCTTAGTGTGACTTAAAAGGCAGTTCCTTTCTCACAAGAGCATGGTGTAATTGAAATGTACTTTGATTTCCTTTGGAGTTTTCTTATATTATAAATGGAATTAAGAACTGAGTTGAGTAATGTAGAACTAAACCATAAACTGTAAGCCCATATTAAGTATGATAAGAAGCATGTTTCCCTTTGTACTCCTAAATATTAGGCCATACTAGTAGTAACTCTGAAATATTTTCCGATGAAGAGCATTTTTAAACTATTTTTTAAATTAATAATAAAAACATTGCTAGTAGTAGTAAGATTGGGAAAATGTTCAAATCCTTTGTTCCTCCAGGGCAAGACCATACTACTTAATGCCTATAGAATTAAGAATTATGTCTCACTGGGATTTTAATAATCAATTAGCCATTTATTCCCCTTTATATCATCCTCACCAAGTGGTTGTCCTTCAGATCTCGAGCACATCCCTTGGGGAGGAAACTCATTTGTACTTGTATGGCCATTTTTCTTTTAACTTAATTTTCATAAGATTTTTTTCATAAGGTTTTCTTTATGAGTTGACTATTGTATGCCAACATTGTACTATGGATGTCATTTCATTATTATCACTACTCTGTGAATTAGATACAATAATTCCATTGCATTTGAACAAATGATACCTGTAAAGAGCAAGCACCTTATCTAAATAGAAATTCCTGGAGATAGCATTGGAAACTTGATCTGTTGGTTTTACCTCTTGTCCCTAACAATGGACAAAAATGAGTTTCTAATTTTCATTTTGTATTCTACTTCTTCTTTTACATCTTGATTTTTTTAAATTTCTCTAATAATTTGATCATAGCAAGAAATCCCTCAAGCTTAAAAAATTTTCTGGAAAGAATTAATAACCCTTAATACCTAAAACAAAATGTGAACTCTCATAAAGGGAAAGAGTCGATGTTATTTTTAAGGAGTGATAAAAATAGAAACTGGATCATACTAGGTTCTTAACTTACCAATGTTAAGGAATTAAAAAATATTGATTGATTGAATGGAAAAAGGAGCAATATCTTCTACCTATAGGTCTTTCTTTGGTGTTGGTTCATTAAATTGAACGCATGCTTCAAGGAAGTGCAACTGTATAACTGCTTGTGTCAGGCAGGGAGTGATGGAAAACATCATCATATTTTAGCATGGGCAGAATTATCTATCACCTAATTTCTCCAACACCTATACTTAATAAAGAATGAGATAAAAGTGACTATCAAAATAAATATTAGATTTAAATTTGTTTATTGATAGGCTCTTATATTTTATCAACTGTAAGTTGACTTTTGGTTTCCAGTGTTAATAAATTATTGAAAATGACCTGTTAGATTTTGCTAGCTGTTACCTATAAATTCATTCACTGAATGATGAGCAACATTAAACCGTAATCATTATGGCAGGTTTTCTTTAAATATAAAAATGAAATAATCAAATATTAATTATGGCCAGCTGACAAAGAAATCCATAAAACAATACCCAAGACCAAACTGCAAAAAAAGAATGTATTAAGGAAAAAATATTTTTAAAATCATAGGTATTACATATTAAATGCTTTATTGAAGTCTGATTTTATAACATTCTAATGTGAATTACAACTGCCTTATTCTTGGGGTGAAAGTTCTAAATTTGATAAATCTCCCTGGTCAAATAAGCATGTAAGAGGTTGCCAAATTTGACTATATATAGATCCCAGTCATCTTGTATAGTGCAAACATAATAGAGTAGCAGACCTAGATTAGATTTTGAACTTCTGACATATTTAAAAGCTCTAAGTCTGGTACCCTATAACATCTGAGAGGAAATAGAAATGCCTTAAAATGAAGTTAATATGTTTCATTTAACATATAAATAAGGCAATTTTGTCACCAGAAGCTATTCATTCACTGCTATTATTTTCTTTGTTTCCTGGGAATATATGACTGCTAAAACAATCTAATTGCAAAGTTCATAAATACACACACACACACACACACACACACACACACATGCACACGAGTGATGCAAAGCTTATAATTTAATAAACAAAATTGCGTTTAAAGAAGAAAACCAATTATATCAGTATCTGGATTAAGAATTAGAGGGTCAGAGTTCAAGTTTTGACTCAACCCAACTGGTTGTGAGTCCTGTGGCAAATCAAAGCACTCACAGAGACTCAGTTTCTTCCCTTGTGATTCAAAATAGTAGTTCTACTTCACTATTTCCGGATACCTTAAAGGTCAAGTAAGATTATATAGGAATATATTTTATTAAGTGAAATAGAGCTATGAAAATCTAAATTATTACTCCTGGTAAGTTTGAGAATTTATCAATTAATCTTCGCTGTATAGAAAAGAAAAATTCTTGAAAGCAATTCCTTTTGTTTTGCTCAATAATAATTCTTCTCAATATTTCTATTAATTATATGTTTGAAACACTACATCTGTTATAAAGTATCATTTTCAAGTCATTTAGAGAAAGCCCTTTATTCAGTCATTATATTTCCAGTTATTTGAATTGAACAATTATAGTAAGTTTTGAGCTTGATGGTCTTAAACAAGAGAAGGTGAGAGAGTCTCTGATCTTCAAAGTAGCAGAAAGCTGGGGGCACAGTCTCTGCTCAGAACTTGGTACTAACATGTGTTATCAATTTTAGTTGAAGTTCAAAAAGATGGAACTTGTTTTTAGCAAATGTTTGATATTTCTGCCATCACACCATTAGTCAAATGATGTTCATACTTCAAGAAGACCCACCTTGGCCATTTTTTACCTAGTGAAATAGAAGGAATTATATTAGATAAGGTTGATGTGGTTTTGCTGGTATTTGGGAGGGATTATTTTCTGAAAATTTGAAAAAATAATAATAATTGGTGTAACTGTAACTTTACATCATTAAGGAATACAGTAAGCAGAACATTAGGACAGTTTCTCATAATTAAAACATTTCTATAGATATAAGTGTTCACTTTACAGCAAAGTCTTAGTCATTTATTTGCACCTTTCTATCTCCTGCACATATGATAAAAATATTGCTGAAATAAAATGTCATTCTATGGTGCCCATGCCAATTTCTTGCTATGTCCTGTTTGCTTCTCTCTGAAAGTGTTCTTCTGCACTTGTCTCAAGGGTACTGTAATATTCAAAATAGACTATACATCTTATATTTATTTTATTAATAATTTATAGAAATAGTTTGTTAGAATAAACTCTGATGACACTAGTTCTCTTGCATTCATGACTAATTTGAGAAAGGAGTTGAGACCATCTCTATCCAAGTGTCCACAACAATGAAATTAGGAAAATCTTTCAAATATATTGGAGAAAATATAAGACAGGGAATGCAATTTTTACACATTTAAGAATTTTCCTTATTTCTTCAACATTGACCATTTATATTTTTTGGTTGAATTGGCCACATTTGAATTTTAAAAAGAATTTGTTTTTGTGTGTTTTCCCCATTTAGATAGGTTTATGATATTTTTGAAAGGTTAAATGCAACTTAACAACATTTGTTAGAGCATGACTTACATCTGCCCAAAGATCAATTTTTTAAATTTTTAAATATACAATAACTCTCCTAAAGGAAGAACTATAATTATACACTTGTTTAATAACTGTCTGTATAATTCTAATCATACACAAATTCTTGCAAAAAGTGAGAAAAAGAAATATCCCTAACTCATGAGGCTGAGTATATCTTGACACCAAATCATACGAGAATATTTTCAGAGGGAGAAAAAAACTGCAATGTGTGAACAAAAATTCAGTAACATTGGAATAATTATAAAGCCATAGTTAATAATTTTATCAAAAAGATACTATATAATGCTCAAGTTTAGTTTATTCCAAGAATTCCAAAATCATTCTAGAAATTCACAACGTAGATAGAAAAGAAAAAGTTAATCTCGATAGATACAGAAAATAAACATTTTACTTTAAAAAATTTTTCTCAGCACATCCTACATGGAAATATGTATGTCTGATAAATATATGTAAAAAATCATAAAACAAACAAAACAAAACAAAAAAACCTACAACA